AACAACGAAGGTCTTCAAACAACCAGAGCCTATCACAGAGACAACCTTCGTACAAGCCCCCATGGCTGAGGACGAGGTGGATGAAGAAGAGACGGAGGAAGAAGCAGAAGAGGAGAACAGTGAAGAAGACAATGTTGGGTTTTTTCACTACGAAGGGAAAGAAACAGAGTTGAACAACAATGAGATCCCACATAAAGGTGCTGACGGCTTTCCCAGAGATGGCAGAAGTCGTCCTCAAGTTTCCAGTTGTGCTAAAGTGGGGCAAGCAAGTGATGCACTTAGTAACTATAGAAGGAATCAGGACATCCCCAAACACCTAAGGGATGTCCCTCGAGGGTCAAGTTGTCCTCCTAGGGATCCAATGGAAAGGGTACGGGAAGAGTGTGCCAGTGACTGTCCAAAAGATTGTGATGTCCCTGTGGTCAGAGAAGGTAGAGGAGACCCTAGAAAAAGTTTCAGATATAGAGGACATCAGTCGAAGAGAGTACACAAAAGAGACATCACTTACGAGGATGGTAGTGGGGTCAGCAATAAAGCTAAGTTTGCAGATCCAGAGGACAGAGGCGTTTGGAAAAAAAGGAATTTGCTAAAATACTCTAGAGAGGACGACAGGGACAGAGATGGAAAACATTCACACAAGCAAAGTAAAAGTCCTGGAGACAGCAAAAACACAGGACAGGACCATCCTGTTTGTAGTCATAAAACAAAGGGGGGAATAGAAAGAAAGAGCATTGGGGATGTTGAGGAAGAGCAGATTGAGAACAGATTTAAGACCAAACTCAGAATTTCTCCAAACAACTCGGGGAGGGACAAAGGTGCATCTAAACAGACAAATAATGGGAAAGAGGCTCCTGATAGTTCCAGGGCCTCTTCAACATCATCAGACAGGAGAAGCAGCCAATCCAGAGCCCATGTTAATACACCTGTACAGTCCCCAGTTAAACGGCTACATGAAGACTTGGCCAAATCTGATGAAAAGGAGAAGACAAGGCCTAATCAGGAACAGGTAACTGTGCAGAATTCTTTACTAACTGTCAAGAAGTCTTTGCTTCCTCCTTGCAGGGGAGCTTACACAATGATTGGATTCATGTGAATGGATCCTTGTTTCTGTGGTAGCATTTATTCTAGATTGACCCATGTTTTAACATGAAAAAAGGTGAATGGTCACTTTGCATGTTGATCGGACAGCCTGTTCTTGTCTTAGCCTGTTCTTGGCTCTTGACCACGTTGCACCAGATTTCTACCAGTGGTCCGGCTCCTTCTAGGCAAGCATCAGACAATCGTCTCCAATGAGATTTGAAGATTTCCATCCATTCTTCAAACTGCTTGTTTCAGCAACATTAGGGTCGCAGGGATGCTGGAGCCTATCCCAGTATCTCGGGCCACAAGCGAGGGAAACACCCTGGTAGGGCTGGGTATCGAGTTCGATACTTTTTAGGCACCGACCGAATTGCCTCGATACCATCGAGTATCGAAAAACGTCTCGTCGTTCGGTACAAAATTTCAATACCTAAAGGGTTAATCTCATCACCGTCAGTGAGCCAATAAAGGCCCGGGTATACTTCACTTTCCGCGTTCCGTTCCGTCTC